AAGATATATGGAATATTCCCATTTAACCACTCATCCACATAAGAGATATTGTCAAATTAATCTATCTACGCCCCTATCTCTCACTCGTTAAACTCGTCTCTCTCTCTCTCTCTCTCTCTCTATATATATATATATATATATATATATATATATATTTCTCCGTTTCCTCAGTTCGGAACCAAAAATGACATTCGCAGACTCTGCATATACTGATAAAACACTATTTCCGGAATCGGAAACAGATCAGAAGCAAATGGAAATAGTTCTTGAAGACTTTCCTGTTTCGCAGAAATCTGTTTTCTCTTTGGTCAACAATCATATATGTATGGATGTCGAAATCGATTGTCAATTTATTTGCGTTCTATGTATCATCGCTACAGAGTTTTTACGAATGTAAATTACATGCCAGATTATGGTTTGTCCCTTCGTTTGGCGCTAAATGTTTGCTTTCAATTTCCTTATGTGAGCATAAGACACGTCCGTGACATCAGATTCCCAATGACGCTGGTTGAATAAGCGTAAAAGATTCGATCAAATGCCAGAATACTGGCGTGGATCCGAGCAAATACACCTCAATTTCTTATCTCTCTGGATTCATAATTCATTTTCGATTTTCTGTCGTCTCAATATTACCATTGCAGCACACACAAACACATAGGATCTCATCGTATATACATATATTTTGGAACGTGGCCCTTGCATATATATATATATATATATATATATATATATATATATATGTAAGAAAGGACCACTTTCCGAAATCGGAATTCTGCTATTGATTTAGTAAGGAAATGGTTTCAACCTAGATTCTTGAAGCCCGTCTCGTATATATAAGAAAACAGGGGACCTACTTTAAGGCAGATAGAGAATAAACAGCCATATTTATGTATACCATGTAACAAATATATTTTTCTATACATAGGTGTCTTTGATCTTACATTTTTATGTTAATCTTTTCATAGTAACTATACACATATCAATGCTATTTTATTGAAGTTTATTAAAATCTATCTACCTATCTATCTATTTATCTATCTAAGTTTATTAAAATCTTTCCTATACATCTATCTATGTATTGAAGTTTATTAAAATCTTTCCTATACATCTATCTAAGTTTATTAAAATCATTCCGATACATCTGTTTATTAAAATCTATCTATCTATCTATCTATCTAAGTTTATTAAAATCTTTCCTATACATCTATATCTATCTATCTATCTATCTATCTATCTATCTATCTATCTATCTATCTATCTATCTATCTAAGTTTATTAAAATCTTTCCTATACATCTATCTATTTAAGTTTATTAAAATCTTTCCCATAAATATATCTAAGTTTATTAAAATATTTCGTATCTCTCTATCTCTCTCTCTCTCTCTCTCTCTCTCTCTCTCTCTCTCTCTATCTATCTATCTATCCCTAATGATTTACAAATATTGCACCATATTTTGAACGCACGATCATATTCTCTTACAGGAGTGCGAAGTGCCGACATGTTGCCGGTTGTGTTTTGAGTTGAATAATCGCGCAGTTTTACATTAAATTGACCATTTGTTAAATATATGTACGGCAGAAGATAAAAAAAGTGTCCTCAATTTCACAGGGAAAAACGACTGGTCTTCAAATGGGTCTGCTACGAGTGTATACATAAAATTATTTCACACTACTTGTACATTTTGATTATTATAAAGGACATTCAAGGAAGATTTTCTATAAATAATGTGATGGCTTAAAATAACGTAGTTAATATTAGTATGTGCAAAAATCCCCAGCGTCTTTGAGGAGTGGTAATTTTTTCTAATCTTCCTTTATATTCTCATTTATTGTCATTTAATTTTTATCTGAAATTCTGTGACTATTAGAAATCTATTTTTAAATCATTTCACCCCAGGCAAGGAAATAAGGCTATTAAGACGCAAGCTGTTACTGAGTGTGCGAGAATATGAGAAGAAAAGGTGAGAGAACAATAAAAGAACAAGAATTACAATGACAGAATTTTTGAAGCTGAATGTTGTCTGGAAAGCAAGAAGCCGGAAGAGAGTTCCACAAGTAAGAAGTGCGATAGAAGAAATTATTAGCACGGAACTTACTATTACATCTAACCATTTCAACTGAAAATAATGAGACCTTGCTGCAAAATCTAGTACTGCGCTTAAATTCATAAAGTCTAGGGAGCATAGAAGAAAGTTTATCAGAACAATTACCATAATTTATTTAGAGGAAAGGCTAGGGGGAAGCTATGTTATAGCAGTGGGAAACTGACTGAAGCCGAGATGCCAGGTCAAGACCAATAACATTGCAGATTCTTCTTTGTATTTTATCAACGATCTCTTAATATATAGCTAGAGCATCAAACCAAACGTGGCAGCGATTGTCAAAACAAAATCTAGCGATAGAATTATAAAATAAATAAATAGACTATAAATTCATCGTTTTCTTCTAACATAGAGTCAGTCTCAACCCTTACTCCACATTGATATAATAATGGTAATATTAGCTGATTCCTTATAAGAAAGCTTTTAGCGTTCATTGACCGAGCAGACAGTGCTCACTCGAGTTTCGCTTTTATTCACTATCTGGCCATTCGGTAAGGATCAAAGTGTATTATCTGTTCTCCTCAATCTATTAGTAATATTGATAATAGCCGTTTCCTTATAAGAAAATATATTGAGCAGCAGTGATACTCGAGTTAAGCATTTCCTCACTACCTGATCATCGTTCTGGGATCAAAGTATAGTATCTGTTTTCATCTCTAATGGTAATAATAATAATATACGTTTTCTTATATGGTCACATTGGGCATTTATTAACCAAGCAGACAGTGGTAATCGAAGTAGGCTTTTCTTCACTATCTGACCATCGAGCTGTGATTAAGGTGTAGTATCTGTTCTCCTCATCTCTAATGATAATGTGCCTTTCGTCCTTTATCAAGTGTATATCCATCCGTTTAACGTATACTGAATTCTGAACTGAACCCTTTATTTAATCTACAGAGATAGACAGTTTTAGTTCCACTATTCATATCCAGCCACATCACGTCTAGTTCTTATTTTTATTACTGCTTACCCTGTTTAAACTAAGTCCAAGTACATACTGCCTAGTCCGGGGATTGAACCCACATATTCACGACTTAACGGTCGACTAGGCTATTTTCCTTTTCTTACCTCTTGCTTTTCAGTCGGCTCGCCATATTAATCATTATCTTCTTAATTTCTGTTCGTTTACTGTTCTCTTTTCTTAATAATGGTTTCCACTTTCTCATATTCGTCCACACTCAGTAACCTTGCGTCTTGGTGGCTTTAATGTCTTGCTTGGGGTGAAATGATAAAAAACAACCTATATTCGATCTTCTGAAACATCGAGAGTCACAGTGCACAGCTTTCGAAAAAAAAATTCTTCCCAAGATGGCGCTCAGATTTATCGTAGTAATTAAGAACGCTATCTCTCGACATTTTTGGCGCGTTTCCTTTTGTGTTCATTTTTGATCTCTTCAATTCAAATCACTGAAGGGGAGATAAGAAACATCTTACCTGCACTGTTCAATTATCTCGATGCTGGCAACCTTTAAGAATCTACGCAGTTCTTCTCATTACATCCTGAGATATCAACTCCTTCATTAGCATATATATGATTAGCAATATCCAAACGTAATTGAAGATTTATTTAAAGATACAAGAGATTGTTGAAATGTTGTCAGTCCGACCAAGAATGGCACAGCCTCGTGCCATGAAACGTGGGTTCTAGCATATATATAAGTCTGCAATAGTGAGTGCGAATTAATAATAACTCCCTTCACCATCACCCATCAAATTCGGAAAAAGAAGGAAAAGAATTAGAAAAACTACGTGAAATTGTTGTTGGGCCAATGAAAACCTTGCCTTCACAGAAATTAGCCAGTTCATCAAGAAGAAGGAGAAAAAGTAGCGGAATATTTCTTGATATAAAATGACGACAAAATTTCAATTAAGGAGAGAATAGTGTATGAAGTCATGCGAGAGGTTTCGTTTGAGTTTTTTATGACCAGCTTTGAAGCCAGGGTAAAATTATTCGCCAGTTATATTATGAGCTTCAAATCAAGCATGAGGCAATTCAAATAATTTCCTATCAAGAATCCGAATAAGCCCGTGGCCGGAAATTTGGCCGACAGACATATGGCCGACGGACATTTGGCCGAGAGATAAATTTACCGAGAGACATTTGGCCTAGAGTCATTTTGCTGAACGGGCATTTGGCCGACAGACATTTGACCGAACGGGCATTTGGCCGACGGGCATTTGGTCGATGGACATTTGGCCGAGAGATATTTTGTCGACACACATTTGGCTGAGAGACATTTGGCCGAACGGGCATTTGGCCGACGGGCATTTGGTCGACGGGCATTTGGTCGATGGACATTTTGCCGAGAGACATTTGGCCGAACGGGCATTTGGCCGAACGGGCATTTGGCCGAAAGACATTTTGCCGACACATTTCACTAAAAAAGTACAAGTAAAAATAGTAACAAGCAATACTTTAAGCATTTTAATATAGCACTAATATAAGGTAGACTAGGACTAATAATTATCACTGAATTTCAAGTGATTAAATTATTAAATAAAAATTTAAAGACATTTAAATGTCCCTTCGGTGAAATGTCCCTCATCGAAATGTCCGTCGGCCCAATGTCCCTTCGGTGAAATGTCCCTTCGGTGAAATGTCCCTCGTCGAAATGTCCGTCGGCCCAATGTCCCTTCGCTGAAATGTCCCTTGTCGAAATACCCATCGGCCAAATGACCCTTCGGTGAAATGTCCCTTGTCGAAATGTCCGTCGGCCCAATGTCCCTTCGGTGAAATGTCCCTCGTCGAAATGTCCGTCGGCCCAATGTCCCTTCTGTGAAATGTCCCTTGTCGGAATGTCCGTCGGCCAAATGACCCTTCGGTGAAATGTCCCTTGTCGAAATGTCCGTCGGCCCAATGTCCCTTCGCTGAAATGTCCCTTGTCGAAATACCCATCG